CAGTAAGCTTTCAGAGTGTGGCTACCTCAGGACCCTGAACAAATCCTCTTACTTGGTTTTGGTATGAAAGTAAAGAAGAAGAGGAGGGCTCAAGTCCTCTTGTGACAGGCTGGGCAGGCACACCCACGATACAGACATTGGAAAGAGGTATCCACTTAAAATGTTAAAAAAAAATTTTTTTTTTACTATCCAATGCCAAGTGAACAACCATATACATTTTTTTCATTGACTAAATTAACCATGACATTGTTCTGACAATTGAGTAAATGCAGTCATCATCAAAGGACACCTTTTCAACATTTATGTAGAACAGGTATCCAGGGGGCAGTTCATTCTCAGTGTCACTGTCTGTGTGACACATCACATCTTATGAAATAAGGAACCTCCAGTCATATATATCCAGCCTGGTCTACAGAATGAGTTCCAGGACAGCAAAAGCTACACAGAGAAACTCTGTCTTGGAAAAATAAATCAAACAACCAACAAAGAAATCTTTGTATATATGCATTTCCAACATCAACGTGAATGTTATTCAGCATCTGTATGTTCATGTATCTATATATTGTATTATTCCCTGTCATTGGTCTGTCTATCAGTATAGTACACCAGCCTATTGATGCATTTTTTGTATGCTGTTGTAAACTCTTCAACAGGAAGCACAGGTAGAAAGCATAAAAACATATATGTGTAACCTTTAACCCATGAACAAGGACACACACACACACACACACACACACACACACACACACACACACACACCCCTTCTTTAATTCTGGTTCTAATACACTGTCACTTGAGGCTGGAGCCAGTGAAGCAGGCTCCTTTCTCTGTTTTCCCGCTACAGCTGACCAGAGATGTCTGCATCATTCTTGTTTGCTTGGACTTGACCTCTTTTCTGAAGGGTAGATAGATCAACAGTTGTATCTCCTTCTGCTGATCTTGTGTCCGAAATTCCTGTGCAATTCCTCTTATTTTGGCGGAGCTCCAGTTACTCAGCTTCCCAGCATTCCCTTCCTGGCTCTCTGATAAAAGTTTTTGCTCAGACACTTGCCCTGTCACCAGCACACCTCTCCTGAGCTCCAAGCTGCAAAACTTTTACCCAAGCTGGGACAGAGCAGTGGTGTATGGGAACTGTCCCCTTAATCCATCCCCTACCTCAACTCTCATTCCAGTGTGCCTGTTCCTTACCTCCATTGTGGCTTAGTCTGATTACATGCCTTGCAATATAGGTCCTGAGTCTAAGTTACAACTCCCTGAACAGAAGGGGTGAGCTCTACACATTCAGGAACCTGCCTCGCTTCTTCCCGGTATTTCCCTCCCCATGCCCTGCAATGCCCTCCTTCCTGACTGCATTGATTGACACCCTGGCTAGAGTAGCTGATCAGCCTTAGTATTTCTCCTATCTCTTTCCTTAATTAATTTGATGTGTTTGGCATCAGCTATGCCGCAAGAGGGGTATTTTCTCAGAGACAGGAGAGAGCTGGAGGCCTTGCTCCTTTTCCTTCCCTTCTTAAATAGACTAGTATTTCAACCTGACAGCTCCTAGCCACTTCTCCTATGGAGCTTTGAGTGTTTATTTTCCTGATGTTTTTATTCCAAAGTCTTTGCCAGGGTCATGTTGTTGATGACTGCCAAGTGACAGCAGCCCCTGACCCTACTACAGGATCCGACACATTTTACAGGTACAGCTGTTGTCAGGGAATTATAGAAGCCAAAGGCAAAAAAGAGTCCTCAAGAGGTCATCTTAGACATGCCCCTGTCTCTAGTCTAGCACCTATCTATATCTGCTTGAATAAATTTGAAAAAAAATCTAGTATTCAAGGTGTCACAAAAAGGGAAAGGATGTGACATTCTTCAACCCCATTCCATTATCCAGCAGCCCACACAGATCACCACATGGACCCACAGCCTCTCTGAATGGAAGCCCTTTCCTCTTATTTAGCTTCCAGAGGTAGACTCTGATGAAAATAACATGCTGTATATTTTCCTTATTCTTTCTTTCATGTTTTAAGATTTATTTTTAATTATGTGCGTGTGAATGTGTGTGTGAGCAAGTGTGTGTGCACGTGTGTGTGTGTGTGTGTGTGTGTGTGTGTGTGTGTGTGTGTGTGTGTGTGTATAAGCACAAGTAGTCACCTTCAGGGGCTGTCAAATCACCTAGAACTGGAGTTGCAAGCAGTTGTGGGTTGTCTGATGTGAATGCTGGGAACTGAACTCAGGTCCTCTTTAAGAGCAGCAAGTACTCTTTATCCTAAGCCAACTCTCTAGCCCCTGTATACTTTTTTAAATGAATTCAAAGATTGGAAAGAGAAACTATGCATTGCAGTCATCCATGATGGAAGGAACAATTCAAACTTCAACACAACGTTGCTCTCTCCAAAGATAAGAGTAGTTTCCAGGTGCAGTGAGGTGCTAACTGCGGACATAGAAATCCTTCCTGGCCTCTTATGTGAAACAAGTTCCCAAGTGTAGAGTAATCCTACCCACAGACTTAAATGCTTTGTGTTTTCATGTGTATCATCTCTTCCTCTAGCAAAGCCTCATAAGGCACTGCTGCCATTTAATAGCCTGTACCTGTGATAGCACACTACGAGGACTGGAGATGCTGCCCAGTTGGTAGAGGGCTTGCCTAGGGTCCATGAAGCTATGGATTCAATCACCAGCAGCACATAAACCCAATGTGGTGATGTATGCCTGTAATCCCAAAACTTGAGAGGTGGAGGCAGGAAAATCAGTTCAATGTTGGCTACTTAATGAGTCCCAGGCCATTTTGGGCTACATGAAATTTGGTCTTAAGAAAATAAAAGAAAAAGATAACTGTGTAATTCCAACGGACTAGCTGCAAGGCAAAAGCAGAAGATGAAAGCTTTCTGGTTAACAGATTCACTTCCCGCTGCCACCTGCCTGAATATTAAAATGACCCCAGTACAGGGCTGACATTTTCTGTTATTATCCACAGACAGAACTAAAATCTTGTGTCTGTGTCCAAGAGTGGTGTTCCATGAGTGGCTCTTTCTCTATTTAGCACACTGTAACTGACAGGTCTTCTCACCATCTGACAACCCCACGGCCAGCATGACTGTGTCACACTAGTTAGAAAGAGACACGCAAGGGCTGGAGAGACGGCCCAGTGAGTAAAAGCTTGCCGAGTAAAGAGATATGCAGGTGTCACAAACATACCAGAAAGTCTGGAAAGGAGCTGCCTGTGAGACAGCTTCTTGGATTTCCATAAGAAAAATGGCACAAAAAAAAAAAAAAAAAAAGAAAAATGGCACAAATGTGAGATGTAACTACAGAGAGGAGACCGCCCATTCCTGGTATTGGCAAGGGTCAATACATTTCCTGACGGTGAATTTCACTTATCTATATATGGAAAAGGACAGAGCCATTTGGGTGAATCAATTCAATATCTCTTCATCACTTTGGTAGAAAACGTTTTCATGCCAGATACCTTTGTAATAAATCTGCTGGTGCAGCTCACAGACAACCTTCTGAGATGAATGGTTAGTCTCGGGTTTGGAAATACACAGACTTGAGTAATTTTGAAACTACACTTAAAATCCTGAATTGACAAGATCTGAATTTCTGTCTGTATGTCAACTATTTCCCAAAGTTCCTCTTCCTTTAGTGCTACATAGTTTCCACCTGGTCTATTTAGTTTTCACAAATCAAATTCCTAGAAAATTGTTTGAGCCAATCTCCAACTTTACTCATCACTTGAACTGCCATGGACTCAGTCAGGGATGAGAGAAGAGAAGCACAAAGTTTAAATGGATGTAGAGAAGCCAAAAATCTACCTTCTATCCTCTGCAGGAATGTAAATTTAAGCGATTCTTGGTGAGGGAAGAGAGAAGATTTCACAATAAACCAAATTGAGAGTCTTCAAACTTCAAGGACGTTCTAACTTCAGACTTGACATTGTGTACTTAGCTTGGTGTTGTTATATATAGGACCCTTGGCGTAATGGACAGTCTTGGGGCATCCTGGGTTGTTTTCTTTCTTTTTTTTTTTGATATATTATTTTTATTTTTAATTATGTATACGTGTACATGTCTGTGTGGGGATATGTGCACATGATTGCATGTGCCCTTGGGAACTAGAAACACTGGCTCTCTGGAGCTGGAGTTGCAGGCTACTGTAAGTCAACTGATGTGGGTGCTGAGAATCAAATTTGGGTCTTCTGGAAGAGCAGACAAATGCTCTTAACCATCAAGCTATTCCCCCAGCTTCTTATGCTACAGTTTGAGTCCAAGGCCAAGAAGGGTTATCTAGCATTCATTGGCTATTGTTTGTTTGTTTGTTTTTCAAGACAGGGTCTCTCTGTGTGGCCCTGGCTGTCCTGGAGTTTGTGCTGTAGACCAGACTGGCCTCAAACTCAGAAATCCTCTTGCCTCTGCCTCTCAAGTGCTGGGATTAGCTAAACTCAGCTAACTATTTATTTATTTATTTATTTTAGGTTTTGAGACAAGGTCTCACTCTGTATCCTAAACTGGCCTTGAAATTCTGGTGATCCTCCTGCCTCAGCCTCCCAAGTACTGGGATTTTAGGCATGAGCCACCACACCTACAGAGTAATCAGCATTTATATGAAATGATAAAGATTAAAGATGTATTATATCCCTTTTTTCTTTTCTCTCTTTCTCTCTCTCTCTCTCTCTCTCTCTCTCTCTCTCTCTTTTTTTTTCTTGCACCTTCCTGGAACTTGCTTTGGAGACCAGGCTGGCCTCGAACTCACAAAGATCCGCCTGCCTCTGCCTCCCCAGTGCTGCGATTAAAGGCGTGTGCCACCACCGCCCGGCCCATTTTTCTTTTTAAAAGGATGTGTTATGAAGGATGGTTTGGGATGTGGTACACTCCAAAAAGTCCATTGCTTCCAACACTGTAGAAGGTTACCCCTCCATTTAGGGAAAGACCTAATAAATAGATGGTTCCAGTCACTGGGTGGCTTCCACTTACATGTGATCCAGTCACTTCTCGTCTTGTGTCTGTACTGTTCCCTAGGGCCTCTGGATCTGCATCATCACAACAAAGGAAGAACGGAGGAGGCATGGGAGAAGGGGGTCAAGACACATTTCTTAAACTTTTGGCCAGGAAACATACATGCCATTGACTAGAATTCAGTCACATGGCCGCAACAAACTGCAGAGAGTGCTGGGAAATGTAGTCATGCTATGGTCTGCAAGAAGAGCCATCTAGAGGAGGGGCGGTTCTAGAGACCAGGATGGAAATCTTGGGGCTACCGTGGAGGAATACCTTACAGGGCGTACTTGTGAACATAGTTGTTATTTCTTCAAAAGGGAAGTGATTTCTCCATAAAGGGGCCTTTCTCTGGATGGCTTGTGCTGACAGAATACAGACTAGGAAGGAGAAAAAAGGGGGGAGGGGATTCTTAAAACAAAACAAAACAAAACAAACAAACAAACAACAACAAAACAGAAGCAAAGGAGAGCATTGTCATCTGTCCTGGCAGGACAACACATCTCCTGTCACCAGACTCCCGGAACTTTCCCCCGTGGGACTTCTCACCTCTGTGTAATGATGATGTCTCTGAAACTCGGGGAGTTTAGATGTGGATACAGTCCTAAAAATCCTTTTGCTAATAAAAAACAAATCCAGTAAAATTTATCACTGGATACAGAAGCCAATAAAATCCACCAGAGTAAAATTGCTTGGTCCTCTATCCTAAATATAATAAACATAGTTTACATCGGATTAATTCGAAAATTTGATTTAATTTTTTTTAAGTGCCTCATTCTGCTGGGATTGGAAGACACATCTGGCGGGGTGAGGTCATCACAAGAAGAGATTGACTATTTACAGAAAAGAAGAGAAAAGCCACCTCCCACAAGCCGCTTCACAGGGCTGGTCAAACCTTCCAGCAACTCGATGGCCCCTGTTACCTATATTCTCGGCCTCTAGTTCTCTATTAAAAACCAAAGGGTACCTCCGTTCTCCCGCTCTGTCCCGCTCTGCAGCGACACTCACCGCTTCATTGCTGTCTATGCGCGCAATCAACGTTTTCCTGCCCCTCAGTTGCCCTGGAGTTCTGTTTTAAACTGCCCCCCCCCCGCCCCATTTCTTGGGACTAGCTGGAACGCATGCTGGGAAAACAAAAAGGGGGGAAGGTCCGTCAAATTCCAAGAAAAGCGCAACTAAGCCTTCCTAAGCGAATGCAAAGGATTTGGGTAAGAAATAGTCAGCGTAGATCTTTGGGGATTGAAATTAGTTCACACTTCCTCCATAATGTCCAACGATCCCTGTGAATGTCCCGTGAGCAGCTTCGAGGGTAACAACCCTGCAAAGTGCGGTCTAGGAAAGCTGTGGGAGTCAGTAGCCCCTCAGTTCACTCGCGTCCTTCTTTTTCCGCAAATAAAGGCGAAATCGGGGTCTCAAGACAATGAAAGTCTGGGGGACCCGCGTCGTCCCTAAGACTAGACTCCAGCGGCTCAGCTCGCGGCTGCCTGGGTTCCCCTGTCACTGCCTGCCTCGTGGCTCTCACGAGGTCTGGAGAGGGGCCGCCCCTCTAAACAACTATTTTGGGGCAATGGATCCCCGGACATGACTGCGGGAAGGAGGCTCCAATGCGGCCTCAAACGGGTCCTATATCCGGGGAGTGCGAAAAGGTGCTGGGCTCATGCCCAGCCTCACTGCTGCACCAACAATACAAGTTCCGCTAGTTGGATTGGAAAATACGAGTTCACCTCCCAGTCCCGATTAATTTTTTTCTTTTAAAATATATTCCCTTCAAAAAAAAACAAAGACCTGGCCAGGCTGGCGCCACCCGGTCTAGGAGTTGAGGTTCGTGAGGGATGCAGATTTCGTTTGATTCAAGTTGAGAAAATAAGGGTCTCCCTGCCTTGGGGGCGTGGGGACCTCTCTCTGAGCTCTGTGCAGCGCGTCTGGGGCTCCCTCCGAGATAGACAAGCTCTCCAAGCTGCCCAAAGCTTGAGGAAGCTTCCCAGCACTGGACGCCAGATTGCTGTGCTGCTTCTGTCCAAGAATCCGGCCGGCCTTCGCTGGCCCCACGCACGCACGCAGCTCGAGATAGAGCTGCCCATTCCCTTCAGCCTAGTTTCGACCAGAGGAGGTCTCTGAGCAAGAATAGGAAACCGCTGGGGTGTTAAGAAGGCAATATTCAAAATTCCTAAACCCTCTGAGCAGCCCTGGGGTGCGGGTGTTAACAACGTGATTAGTCTCTACAGTGAGACGCAGAGCCGTGTGATCCCACTGCTACCCCAGTGCAGACACGTTCTATCTGGGAAGACGTGCAAAGGCACTTCAGAAGTCGGGACTCTGCCCCACAGCCTCTGACGCCTGAGGCTGATGCTACCGGAGCACAGGTTGAAGAAATGGTGGTGAGGAAGGGAGTTCCTGAACACCCTAAGCGTTTGCAATCAAGGTAGATGTTGAAGTTATTGCAATGTATTGCCCATTCAAATAGTGTGGACCTCAGTCTCCAGGCTTCAGTCTTTGGGGATAAGTCACAGCTTCAAGGTTCTTCCTGGGGAGTCGAGGGCGGGGGACAGACACGGCAACAGTCCATTGTTTTTAGAAACATTTGCCAAGCTTCTCCACTCTTTTGATTACTTGAATAATTCATTAAAAAAGCAAATTGTAAAATTTGGAAAAAAATTATTGCTGGATAAGAGGGAGGGAGAGAAGGAGGGACACATACAGACACACACACACACACACACACACACACACACACACACAAAACAGTGAACTTGGCCCTCTGCATTTTTTCTGATACAAAAATAATCCCAAAGTTTGCCTTCTTGGGGCATCAGTTTCTAGACATATGTTGCTTGTGTTGTGTTAAGAAGGTATAGAACTAATTCAAGTTATCAAAATATACACATTTATTTATATATGTATATAAACACATGTTTGCAAAACATTGTGCATCCAGTCCTTACTCACAACCTCTGCATCAGTGTATTCAACCAACCATGACTCACAGACATGCATTTTTTAAAAAAATGCATCTGCACCAAACATGTATAGACATTTTTCTTATTATTCCTAAATTATATAGTGTAACAGCTATTTTCACAGCATTTACATTGCATTAGATGCAATTAGGTTACTGTGAGTAGCCCAGAGACGATTTAAAGACTACAGGAGACGATTTAAAGACTATGGACCTGTACTTTTTATATTATATCAGGTATATATTGTATGTGTATATCCATATGTGTGATATACATGTAACTTTCCTATTTACTCAACCTTTTAGAGAAATCTTCACATTTACATATATACATACCCATATACACATATACATGATGAGAGAGTACGAATACGAATAAGTTTTCTCCTTGTGTATAGAAAAAAAAACATATTTCTTGGCTAGGAATAACATTTTCACTCTAGGTTTGTTTGTTTCCCCCAGAATGATGGAAACTGGATGGGGTAGCTGTCTCCACCTAGTCTTTAAGATGAATACACACTTATAAACATTGGGTGTCACCCCACAGAACCTTTAAGTGAAAACCTGATGTTGCAGGTTCTAATCCAAGTACACAGAGCAGAATGTCTGAGACACACTGTGAGGGTTCAGAGATTAAACAGTGAACTCTATGAAGCCAGCATGGGGACTAAGGGGATGTTTCGGGACCTAGCAAAGAGCCCACTTCCTTAATAACTAGAGCTCAGAGGGCTAGACCCAGAGAGGATGAAGGGAGCATTAATCTTTGGAAGAGAAAGGGTCTGTTGGGCTATCTCTTCCTAGGATGAGAAACACGTTCAAAGGTGGGGCTAAGCTGTGCAAAGTAGAGTCCAATTTTCTAACTGATAACCTTCGGAAGAAGAAATTCACTGAGTTTTATGATCCCAATGTTATGTTTAAGGCACAAAACACTCTGAAGATAAAGCTTAATGTGGAAAATTTGCAGACCTGAAATGCAACAAGTTTAAAAGTCTAATTGCATATCCAACTGTGTATGGGATTCGGGTATCGTGCATGTCTGCTTAGTGCATGCCCGATGCCATTTTTATATGTATTGTTCACAGCAAATGAACACACACAGCTGCATAGAAGTTAAGATTAAGATTCCCACTATCAGAATAATTTACTTTCCTCCTTTCTCAGTATGCCAGCTAAGATACACCCAGTTTTTCAGAAGTCCGTCTGACTCTCTCCCTTCGGCCACTCCTCTCAACTTTTCTGAGACATCTTTGTGGCTGTGTGATTATTACTTAACCACTCTTTGTTCTGTGACTGGACACATGATTTGTTTTTTCTTTACTTTCTTTAGGAAATATCAGCCACCAGACAGGGAGAAGGCCTACAAAAGTGATTCTTAATCTTGGCAGTGGATGTGGTCAACAGAAATTTTGAGTGGAGGCATTGAAAAGGTGGGAGAGGGGAGGGAGACCGGGAGCAAAGACCACATAATCAATGAAGATGTCATGATAAACATTATTTTGTGCACTAGCTAAAAATGTAATAGTTTTTTAAAGTTACAAATAAGTACAGGAATCCCTGAAGATTTGGAGACCTAGCTCCCAACACTTCCTTTTCTGCTCACACAGCACCCTATTGTGGGAATTCTCCCACACCCCGCGCACCAACACCCTGTGAATGCACCGCAATCCAGAAAGCCAGCGTCCAACCACACTCCCACAGAGCCCCAGGACTCCATGGGAGTCCTCCTACAGCACAGATCAACGTGCATGCTCAGCTGTAGGTGCCCAGAGCGCACACCAGCACGTCAATGAGGATTATGCTGGGACTTGCACCGGTCTTGCTTGATTTGCTCAGGTTCGGGAAAGAGCTGCGAGCACTCATCCGGCTCTCCAGTCTCAGCCATTTATTGCCCAGTGTGGAAGCTGCTCTCTCAGGCTTAAGCTTGGTCAGCCTCGGGTGAACCAAAATGTTAAATAATCGTCAAGTGTAAAATTAAAAACAAATAGCATATTTAAGTGAACGACCGAATCCTGCGAGTCCTGGGAGCGAGCCAAAGAAAAAGAGCAGATCTATGCTTGCGCGAGTTTCTGGCGGGATCCCCACCCCAGTGACTCTTCTGACAAGCCGGCTCATCACTCAGACCGCAGAAATGACCAAACTCCCCATTATTCGACCGTAAAAATTGCCCCAAAGAACAGTGCCATCCCCAAATTCTGTCAAATTTGGTGAAATGGCAAATAGTTTTCATGACCAAAAGTCTCGCTGAGTGAAAAGCAAACTAAGAATTGCGTGCTTGGGAAATTGCTCACGGATCCACTCCACCCTGATGCCTTTGTTCCCTCTTAAAAAATAAAATAATACTAAAAGTCATCCCTGCACTTACATGTGACAGAATATTTTTTCCACTTAATAGCTAATTGTATCAGAAAAATAAACACAGAGATGGATTATCA